TACATTATGACAAACATTACTCCATTTATCAAATCAGTATACTATAGCATAATTATAACTAGATCAGATTATTGAGGGCTGACCAAAGAACTGGTTAGTATTGCTACTGTATAAAGTATAATTAAAAATCCAACTGGTATTCCATTTACGCCAGTGAAACAATATGTTCACGAGTGCTTCTCGTCTAACATGTCACTGTAATGTTGTTATACCATATGGGTCAAAATTAAGAATCATTTTCAAAAACTGTGTCAATTGTGACTCAAGCGAAAACGTGAATGGACTTCGTCGGAGTCGTTTTTTATACGGAGATCGTGACAAGACCCCATTAAATAAAAGATCTATATAAGGATTTCTGTAATCAGAGCACGTGATAATGTATAAAACGTACTTTTGATAAACGAAATGAGTTGTAAGAATTTCCGAAATTGATAAGTGTATTTGACGTAGACGAGGAAAAAAAATGGAATTCCAATTTAAGTGATACACCGACTCACGTCTCAAGAAGGCAGCACGCTATGTTTTCCTATATAACCCGAGAATTACTTTTCATTTGGTGAGAACTGCTTCAAAATAGTTTGGCAAAATATCCAAAATACCCTAATCTGTGTAAATGCAATTTAGGTAAAGAACGTCTGAAATGAATACAGCTCTAGCTCATCTGATTATAATTCAAAGAAGTCTAAAACACAAAAAACCCTACTCGCCAATATAAACGTCCAAATAAAATAAAACAATTACTAAAGTCAAAATAAAACACTCAGTCAATTTAGGCAGTAAGTCGAGACTTTGAGATATTGTAAAATGTAATAATACTTTACTTAACATTTAAAATTCACAGTCCAACGTGGTTCCACATTGAAATGGCATACGATAATGCCCTATCATAAAGCCCAAGAGGTTTTTATAGTCGTATCATATTATGTAGTTGGAAGGTCAGAGTTTGGTAATACGAAAACCAGTATATTTTGAGGAAGCGCATCATTTCAATGTGTAAGCTGTAAGCTATATACCTTTTTTACTTACATAGAAATTTCATTCCTTGATAACAGCAAAAGGCTAGATATATTTTTCCAAATCAAATTAAGAGGTTTCGTGTGGTTTATTTTTATTTTCGATCTTCATTCAGCAAGAGTATTACGGAAAAGCTATTAAAAATTATGCGTTTTGTTAATAGTCAATACTTATGTAGTTCTATGTGTAGGTAAAGCTTATACGAGTACTAGCGACCCGCCCTCGCTTCGCTTCCGAAACAGTAATTTATTATTGATCTCTCCACTATTTAATGCATGTTATTATACATATAAACCTTCCTCTTCAATTACTCTATCTATTAAAAAAACCGCATCAAAATCCGTTGCGTAGTTTTAAAGATTTAAGCATACGTAAGGATATAGGGACAGAGAGAGCGAATTTGTTTTATACTATGTAGTAATATGGCGACGTCAAAATTTTTACGCGCGTCAATTAGTTCTATGATATTATAAATTAGTATTCCGCATATATCATAACATTTTATCGTCCACATACGCTATCGTTACACATAGAAACATGTACGAACGACATATGTGGCCGCAAATCGCGTATTGCGATCGCTCGTAATAAAAACCTTCTATCGTCTAATGTGCAGATCGCGTGCTCTGTCTTATAGATGCAAAATCATCACAGCTCTAAATGAAAAAAGTTCATATAGAATCCAATTCTTGTTTTATTAATAAGCTAGCGGCCCACTCCGGCTCCGCTCGGGTCTTTAACAAAAAATTTCAACGATATTTATATTAGCTTTATTTATTTAGACATCGCGAAACTTTTTGTAAATAAAAATTTGTTTTACAAAGTCGTACTACATTATTTTATTCTATTATCAATAGTTTTCGCAGGGCACGCGATGTAAAGAATATTTTAGGTAATTTTTTTACACCTTGGGTTACATTATTGGAGTTTTAGTAAGGATTCCTAATGTTGGTAAAAAAAGATTATACCCTATGTCACTCGGGAATAGTGTAACTTCCAAACAGGGAAAGAATTTTTCAAATCGGTTCAGTAGTTTCGGAGTCTATTCAATACAAACAAACAAACAAACAAAAAAATCTTTCCTCTTTATAATATTAGTATAAATAACTCAGTGAAGCCTTTCGATGCATGTAAAATCAAATGTCGAATGTCATTGGAACATGGGTCATTGAAACATTGGAATACTCTGTCAATAAATATAAGTGATTCAATACATAGTGATCAGACATAGGTGAAAACATTGTTTCATTGAGATTGTGTGTGTTTTATGATAATTTATCTTAGTTTATATGTGTATTATGACAGTTCTGTACTAAGCCCGAGTATTGTATATTAATAAATAAATCGAAAAGTTTTTTTTTGTCTACTGAAAGCATTGTTACCTTGTATAAAAATCCCTTAAGTATGGTATTTTATATAAGTAGTGTAAAACATAAATATAAATATTATATTAAGTAAGTCGTTTATATTTTCAAGAATCCTGGTATTAGAGCGGAACTTTTCCCAATGTTAACTTTTTATTAGAAAATCGTACAATGTAACGGTATTTTGTTCAGTGGTACAATGCGTGTTTCAAAAGAGTGATCACAGGTTCAAAACTTGATCCCGTCTTGCCATTCTTCCCATTTTTTCGAATTTTCACTCGTATTTAACGTAAAATGTATTTCCGAGAACACATTTTACAATAAATATAGCTTCGGTTTAATAGCAGCAACGAACTATCTACCATATCTGAGCAACTTGGCCATTTAGCAGTTAAAAAAAAAAATGTAAATTTACTCTCACGACCGTGATGTTACGTAAATAAAACCTTGAATTCTAGGGAAAACGAATCGATCATCGTTCTGTATCAATAAAATTTTGACGGTCAATGAAGAATAACGATGTAACTGTTCACTGATTTCTTAGTCTATGAACACAGATATCATGATACGCCTCATAGGGAACATCGAACTTATATAAAGATATTACAGGTTGCAAATAAGGGCAATATTTTTATAACACAACTATATAGCTGTACCCGACCGCTACGCTGGGCATTTAAAATTAACATTATTATTTCTCACCCCCACAAACGTTCTCATCATTAAAACCCCCTCCCCTCCCAAATGGTGTAGGGAGTCCAACACTCGTATAAATATTAGCCTATCCATTAAGTACATGTATTTTCTACATGGGTACCAAGCTTCAAGTCAATCGGATGCACGGTTCAGTAGTTATAACGGAACATCCGTAAAAGCCACTTCAGATTTATATATTAGTATAGATATATCTAAATATAAAATTGGACCGATTTTTTGCAATAAGTATATTTTTACGCTTCAGTAAATACACTAGACAGCGCAAGGACCGCCGTACCTCTTATTGAAAATCAGTATAAAATAGGACAATTTTGTCAAAAATATTTCAGAAACCATCTTAAGTAATGGTTTGTAAAATAATCTTTTCCTCAATCTTTTCTGTTTGCGGCTTAAGTTCAATTTTCACGGAATTCTGAAAAAAACTGTTAAACTTGATGGTATCATCCTGATCTTGTTACCTTTTAAAGAATTTTGTATTTTTCGCTCCCATTTCATTATGACGTTTTGTTTAAAAAAAAAGAGGATAAACCTACTTAAATAAATCAACTATAGTCAACCGTTTTATTGGAAACTACCACTACCACTGTCTTTGAAAAATAACATAAATGAAATTCTAATGGGATCTCACTAATTTTATATTAGTGTTTTAATGAAAAATGTTAACTTTTCGTTTCCAGGAGCTATTTTTTATTAGGCTCTAGAAACCATTCATAGGTGGGGCAGCATTGTGTGATAATATGTGGGCCCTATGAAATGTTCATAGATACAATTATGGGCTGTACAAGCCGATTGTAAATTGACTGTAAATTTTTTTTATTCAGATTGTATTATTTATTATTTTGTTATTAAAACAGATTAAATATTTATATTTTATTAATATTGTTTTAAAATTATTTCATTCGTATAGAGAAAAAGCAAATTTTTTTTTTTTTGTTGCTTAGTTGGATGTACGAGCTCACAGCCCACCTGGTGTTAAGTGGTTACTGGAGCCCATAGACATCTACAACGTAAATGCGCCACCCACCTCGAGATATAAGTTATAAATAAGGTCTCAGTATAGTTACAACGGCTGCCCCACCCTTCGAACCGAAACGCATTACTGCTTCACGGCGGAAATAGGCGGGGTGGTGGTACATACCCGTGCGGACTCCCAAGAGGTCCTACCACCAGTGATTACGCAAATTATAATTTTGCGGGTTTGGTTTTTATTACACGATGTTATTCCTTCACCGTGGAAGTCAATCGTGAACATTTGTTGAGTACGTATTTCATTAGAAAAATTGGTACTCGCCTGCGGGATCCGAACACCGGTGCATCGCTTCATACGAACGTCTTATCCTTTAGGCCACGACGACTTCAAAAGTTTGCGACATTAAAGTTTGCGATGCAAAAAAAGCTTTTTTATTTAATTAACCCACTCAAAATACCTTGACGGTACAAGTTTATTGTCTTGATTGAACAATCCAAAACTTAAATCGGTTCTATTCGATATTTTTATGCTTAGTTCGGTTTTTTTTTTTCGGCATTGACTTTTCCATACGCACGTGCATGATGATATAATAATAATAGCAGTAAACGATTTAAAATATTGTTTTATCTCTGTTTCCTTCGTCTAATTAAATAACGAATGTAAAAAATATCTCGACGCACCAGCACTTCCTAAAACATCGTGGCTTAATTACATTACCTTCGCGAGTAAATTGTAGCAAAATTTAAATATTATTATAATAATATAAACGGAGTTTTAACAAGTTGTGTTACAATTACGCATCGTTTTAACTAAAATTAGTGGAGTCTTGACAATGGCGAGGTCGCTTTATTTCCGAGTTTTGGAATTACTATATAAGGTGACGCTTTTGTTTAAACAAACATTCAGCAATCAAGAATCAAACAATTAACAGCAAAATGATCGCTAAGGTAAGCCTAACTAAACCTATTTAAATTATGCATAAGTAAATGTGTTTTTTTCTAATGGTAGGGTGGCATATTTCTGCTACCAAGTGGTCATACGTCTTCCAATAGATACGTTGTACAATCTTCCATGTCTCGAGAGCTCGAGATGTGTGGTGGCATTGTTACCAAATGGTAGTGGTTACCAGAGGAACAATTTACCAGGCGCAACCAACTAGTACTAAGTGAGCAATAAACTTGCGAACAAAAAAAGTCGTCGTGGCCTAACGGATAAGACGTCCGGTGCATTCGTGTTGAAGCGATGCACCGGTGTTCGAATCCCGCAGGCGGGTACCAATTTTTCTAATGAAATACGTACTCAACAAATGTTCACGATTGATTTCCACGGTGAAGGAATAACATCGTGTAATAAAAATGAAACCCGCAAAATTATAATTTGCGTAATTACTGGTGGTAGGACCTCTTGTGAGTCCGCACGGGTAGGTACCACCGCCCCGCCTATTTCTGCCGTGAAGCAGTAATGCGTTTCGGTTTGAAGGGTGGGGCAGCCGTTGTGACTATACTGAGACCTTAGAACTATATCTCAAGGTGTGTGGCGCATTTACGTTGTAGATGTCTATGGGCTCCAGTAACCACTTAACACCAGGTGGGCTGTGAGCTCGTCCACCCATCTAAGCAATAAAAAAAAAAAAAAAAGGTTTTTAATTGAACTTCAATTAGATTAACTCCTTTTTTTATTTATTGCTTTGATGGATGGACGAGCTCACAGCCTATCTGGTGTTATGTGATTACTAGAGCCCATACACAAACCCGCAAAATTATAATTTGCGTAATTACTGGTGGTAGGACCTCTTGTGAGTCCGCACGGGTAGGTACCACCGCCCCGCCTATTTCTGCCGTGAAGCAGTAATGCGTTTCGGTTTGAAGGGTGGGGCAGCCGTTGTGACTATACTGAGACCTTAGAACTATATCTCAAGGTGTGTGGCGCATTTACGTTGTAGATGTCTATGGGCTCCAGTAACCACTTAATATCAGGTGGGCTGTGAGCTCGTCCACACAGCTAAGCAATAAAAAAAAAAAAAGATTTTAGAGACCTTAAATGATAAATTTAGCTAAGTTTGGGTCAGTTTAAATTCATTATATTTTCTTTAACGTACTTCACACATTTCCTATTTAGTAAATTAGAGTAAATGCAAAATTTACAATACGCAATGTAACGTTTAAAGTATCTTAATTAACGTGTGATTGCAATGTTTTAATTGGCCATCTTTTACGGCTGTTGAGTTTTTTCATAATACCTAGTAAAACAGTTGTAAAGAAATTTACATTTTTTTGTTACGAAAATACAGATTTGAGAGCTATCAGTCACTCACAGTATGATCGATTTCACATAAAGAACATAACTTAGAAGTTAATAGCTATCGAACAAATAAAACTGTTCAATCAAATCAAATCAATGAACATTAATTTCAATTTTAGTGTCATAAGTCAGTATGATATGTAGGTAGTTTGTTGACTTAAAAACAAATTTCAAATACTTAATATGTGAAAACTAATGAGATCCGTAAAATCATAGAATAAGTATTGCTGGGCAGGATTATGCACATGGAGGTATTTTATTAATATAACGCTTGAGAAGTTAACAAGTCTATTGTATTAAACCTTTAAAAGAGTTACATACATTAACATTACAGTAACAACTCTTAATTCGCTTCCATGTTTTTTTTTTTGTTTTTTTTTATATAAATATATAAATAAATATTTACTAACAATCACGCCACGTTAACTGGTCCCGTGATAAGTTCGTAAAGAACTTGTGTTACAGGTACCAGATAACGGATATAAATGTAAGATTTTTATTATACACATACATATATTTAATATACATCCATAACCCTGGAAAAGACATTTATATTTATCATACAAATATCTTCCCTTGGCGGGATTCGAACCCGCGACCCCCTTGTGTAGTGACCATGTCACTTACCACTACACCAGACGGCCGTTATATACAGCGAATACAGAATCCGTGAATATGGAAAAGCGCGTTTACAAGGGTTATTCGGTTGGATACTTAGATATTGGAATCATTTTTATCAATGTGTGTGTACCAATGCACCGATTAGATCTTCGAATAAAGAAATCTTTAGCCGCGAATTGGGTCGAATTTTTGTAATCTGCGAATAGTGAAAACGGGAGTTAAGGAAGCGCAAATAAGGAGCTTTTACTGTTTCAGGTCGGCTGCAGTTTTACTTATGAAAAAATTATATTCGCTTAACTTGTGCAGTACTAAAGATCTTGAGTATTAGGATACTTTAGGTCATGAATTCCCGACGTGGTCATTATCGGTTTCCCAGGGACCAACACAAACCAAAACTGATTTCTGTAGTCAACGTTAATCATGTTAATCCTTCTATCAAAGTTCAGCGCTATAAGTTTTGGTCTACAATTCATCTCTATTTAACGTTTTAATTTTCGATCGAAGTTCAGTATCTTTAACAAATCTACTGAATTTCGACCGTTTATCGTTATTTCTATTAATGAAAGCCCTACCAAAACTGTAGCACCAGTTGAGCGATTTTGAAAAAAAAATTACTGTATTAGTATTAGTATTACTGTAAAAGTAAAAGTATTACTGGCGGTAGGACCTCTTGTGAGTCCGCGCGGGTGGGTACCACCACCCTGCCTATTTCTGCCGTGAAGCAGTAATGCGTTTCGATTAGAAGGGTGGGGTTGCCGTTGTAACTATACTTGAGACCTTAGAACTTATATCTCAAGGTGGGTGGCGCATTTACGTTGTGGATGTCCATGGGCTCCAGTAACCACTTAACACCAGGTAGACTGTGAGCTTGTCCACCCATCTAAGCAATAAAATGTTTTATTAAGAAATCGTCGATTTCAGACAAAATGTTTAGTATCTAACGGTATTTTCTGTTTTTTTATATTAGATCGCAGCCCTACTCTGCCTATTCGGTATGGCTCAAGCCGGCTACGGTACCGGTCTCGGCTACGCATCAGGTCTTGGTTATGGATCAGTCGGCTACCATGGGTATTCACCATCGTATGTGTCATATGCTCCTGCTATCTCATCTGTTTCGAGGTATGACGTACATTCTCCGGTAGCGTCCTACGGGTATTCTCCTGTTTCCTATGGCGGTTACGGAGGATACGGTGGCATCTATGGATATGGTCACGGTACTTATGGTGGTTATGGTAGCAAATACTTGTGGTAAAAAATAATTGTAAGTAGCTTTTTTGTGGATTACCTATATTTGTGAAATTCTTGCCATATTTCTGTTAAATTACATGTTTTTTGTCAAAATAAATTCGTTTCATAATATTCTTTTTATAGACCGAGCTTCAATTTCATTGTTAGTGTCCATAGTTATAAATTATATGTAATAAACTTTATTTCTCCTTGTTATTTATATACATTTCAACAGAAATAATTTGTGATCGTTTTAAATAAATATTTCTATTTGATAATCTGTTTTTATTTAAATTAAGTAAGCAGGTTCATGCTTGATTTGAACTCATGTGGTATATAAAAAATAATGGATTTACTGTTTCCATGCTATTTTTGCTTCTTTTTTTTAGTGTATGTACATCAAACGTTTTTAATTATCAAGCATTTAATTATATCTGCTTATTTTCAACCTTTACTGTCGTAATATTTTTTGTGAAACATTTTAAAATGTATGACTAGGTTGGAAAAGAACACATCTGGCAATTAGTTTTTACAAAATATATGATAGTTATCAGATATTATTTCAGAAGACATGCCAAACATTTAACGTGGTTTTTTTGATTAAAACCATTCAAACTTTAGTTTTAAAATAGTTTAAAAAGCATTTTATGTGTTGTGTGAATGTAATGAAAAGTACCTAAAGTAATTTTTCTTACAGAACACATATTCCATCAGTAGTAGCTACTACTCTTACATTTATATCTTACAGTACAAATTACTGCCCTAAAATGGCATAAATCAAGATCTCTTTACAAAAACGATAAGTTGACCTACTGCGAATGTTTTTACTCATTGGAAACGTGTTCAAGAAAGCTATTTGTTGTCAAATGATAAATTGAATTGAAGCCAAATTGGACAGCTTAGATCAACTGAATCTCAATTTTGATAACCTTGCATTATAACGTTTGGATTTAATCAGAAGATACGAGACCTCGACCCATTATACTTCGTGGAGCTACTATGCTTACTTATCCATAGAAGTAATGCCCTCGTTCTCTACCATCTGATCTTGAACACTGGGTTTGACGTAAGCATACGCGGTTCCGTAACCGTCTATTGTTACCACGGAGATGGTCTAATGAGATCGAGAGAAAGAGACAGAGGATATCTGTTGTTTGATCAGAACAAAAATACTAACGTAATATCAGTTGTGCTTCAATAATATCGTCTAACATCAGCCTGTGATATCATCTGCGTATGCTAATTAAAAGCCACAGTAATAAATTGCGAGAAAAAACCAGTTTAAATTTGCAAAACTGAATAAACATAATACTTATAAATTATTCAAATAGGATTCAATCGCCACTATACCGCCGGACAGCCGTTTTACTAGGTATACAAATGAGACAAATGAGAAATGTATGTCTGAAGACGATTGGCGGCATTCATATCTTGATATCAATGGGCTCTGGTTAACACATCGGGTGGGCCGTGAGATTGTTTCAACCGTTTACGCACTTAAAAAAAACTCACAACAATGTCTCAGAAATATCACAAGTTCTATGATTATAGATAACAAATTAACACTTGGAAATCTAAAATCTGATTTTTTTAATAATTCTGATAAATATGACCACGGAAATAGGAGCATAAAACTATTAATTATTAGTAACTAGTCTAAACCAACGATTTATATAGAACAAAAAAGAATCAACAACAATATAAGCAATCTTTACATTCCCTTGTAATCACATTGAATGCATTGAACATGTCGATAAATATGTAAGATTACAATATTATGCTGGGCTGTAACAGGCAGGCTATCAATCAAATAACAAATTTTCGAAGAGAGCAAAAAAAACAATATTTTATTGAAACGCTACAACTTTTATAAAATCAAGAAAAAAAATCGATGTTTGCTCAAAAAGAACTTCCAGTCCGAATTCGCGAAACGATTCTCTTCCATGAACGCTAGTTTATAAATGATATCCTAACAATAAAACCCTTGAATTAATATCAAATAATGAACATTTAAAGATGAATTGGAGGTCACTTTTTTTGTTGCAAACAATGAACTTACGCCTTGTACTCGTATTAAATTTTGGAGAACGCGCGTAATTACAGATGTTGCACTTAAACGTAATTAATTCCCGTCATGGTCCGTTTTACAAAATTCTAACAGAACCTTGAGTAAGAATGTATGTTTCCTACGTGTTCAATATATAAGCGTGGAACAATAACCGAAAAAGTATTCAACGCATCACGTTTGAAGAGTAACCAGCAAAATGTTCATCAAGGTAAAAAAAAAACATAAACAATTATTGAAGTGTAATTTCGGATTTACAAAACCTTTGTAGTTTTGCAACGATCACCATTGAGTGTTTTGTTTTAGGTTTTAACCATCGCAGCTTGCCTGTTTGGAGTGGCTTACGCCGGAGCCCTTCACAACGCAGCTCTGAACTACGCTGGCGGCAGTGGCTATGGTGGTTACGGGTATGGGGGCTACGGACACGGCTATGGAGGCTATGGAGCAGGAGGCTATGGCGCCGGCCCCGCCATTTCACACACATCGGTAACTAAAGTGATTCCTGCCGACAACACAGCATACGGCGGCTACTCAGGAGTTGGTCACCTTGGCTCTGGATACTCTGGAATTGGCCACGGCTCTAGCTACTCCGGCTTAGGCCACATCGGTGCTGGATACTCCGGGTTAGGACACAGCGGTTCTGGTTACTCTGGACTTGGACACATTGGCTCCGGATACTCCGGTGTTGGCGGATACTCTGGCTATGGCAGTCATGGTCTCGGTGCTGGCTATGGCAGCTATGCCAGTGGTTACGGCTCAGGAGCTGGATACTCTGGTCTTGGATACAATGGAGCTCCTGCCGTATCCCAAGTTTCAGTATACCGTGAGCACAGCAACACTCATGGCGGCGCTTACCTGAATGGTGGATATGGAGGATATGGCGCTAATGCTCTTGGTCATGGCTATGGCGCGTACGGAAACAAGCAAGCTTGGTAATTTACCAACAAAAAAAACTCAGGGATGTAATTGAAAAATAAAACAAGTTGAATAAGACAGTTATTTTCTTTTCATGACCGTCTGTAATAATATAATAAATGACCGTTACTTTTTCCAAAAAATAAAATATTTATCTGGAACACAGTATAAGGAATACAGAATAAATACATTTCTTATCGTTAAAAATGGAGTTGCTATAAATGCTCTATCGGGCTGTATCAAAACTCACCTCGACTTTGAAACTGAAAGTATCTGTGATAGATCCACTAATCGATTACGTGCTAAATGCTAGTCCGATGAGAATATAATAGCGAAAACAAGAGTTATTACGCCAACAGCTACAGTGCAATGGAAACGTCTTTCCCGAGCGATATAAAGTATTATTTTCTTAGTTAACCATAATAACATTGCACCTTTTACAATCATTCCGTCATACATATTAATTAATTAAATTAATTGCACCGATAATTGAGGTGACATCTGTCATGTACTTATTATTAATTTGTCAATGTTTTGTATTGATGATCACTTTGTTGGTGCAATTAAATATAACTAACTAGTCGTCCCCCAGTAGTCGAAATGCGATTATAATTAATTGAAATTATAAGTTTGAATATCATTACGGTTCTATTGTCAAAGGCTCTTTATTATACTCTTACTTTTATAATCACAGATTTGGCCAAGGCGAAATAACAAATAATATTAAAGACAAACAATAATAATCTATTCTCAATTCGACCACAGACTTTAACAATAAACAAAAGAGTATATATGCGTGGATGTGTGACAAATATATGGTAGTGTGGGTAATTTTTTTTTTAAATAATTTAATGTACTTTTAATGCATAATTTAAAAAAAATTGCATTCTACACTCATTCTCTATATTCTCTATAAGTGTGGGAAATTTCATACTTCTCCATCAGCGCAATTTTCCTAAAAAGGGATACAAATTTTTTGCTTCACGCATTAATGTATAGATAAATAAAAGAAAGTAAAAATATTCACTAATTAAAATCAATATATTTCGAATTTAAAAACAACAAAAAAACTCTCAAGCGCAGAAAGCACTCAAGTAGCCGAACTTACAATTATTTTCATCTTTGTTTTAACCTGTTGATACAGTTCAAAATATTGGAGCGAAACTATAAATTTATTGTATTTTCATCGGACGTTACTCGTGTGCAATTTTTTTAGTAAATCGTATCGAAATAAGTGAAATTACGCTTAATGATTCCGTTACGTACTAACAAACATACCTACCAGGCTGCGAAAAACGTAAAGACGAAACACAATAGTAAATATTTGTAGAATTTCAATATGTATAGTCTAGGTATTGTAATGAGATAGATGTACAGCTCATCTGGTGTTACGCGATTACCAACGCGTCTACGCTACAAAACATATATCACTACATGTAGGAGTCTAACTGGTTTATCGTCTGATCGTATTCGGCATCCTAAAACAATGATTGATACTAACTTGAACAATCTACTTTTATAATAATTTAATCGGTAAACCATACGATGATTGATTCTAAATTAAGTTATCTACTCTATTATATGTACACTTTTTTCAAAAATCGCATCTTACAAAAACAGTGTAAATTTCGCATTAAATCCAGGGAACTATTTTTTTTTTTGTTTCTTTGAAAGACTTATTACTTCCCATTCAAAATAAAAGTTCTTCCGCAATTTCAAGTAAATTAGATGACATATTTTTAATGTACGTTTCCCCGTTACAGTTTTATTTTTAACTTATAAATCCGAAATATTTCCGGGATAAAAATTAAAGTTAAGTTCATTATTAATTATTCAAAACATACATTCAACCAAATTTTTATTTTATTTAAAGTGCTTTAGAATTATTTTGACCGTATCGAAATTAAATATTCTTCTTGGTGGTATAATAATTAAGTTCAAACGACTAAGAGTTTATATATAGTTTTTAATTCAATTTCACAGACAAACACTTAATTTTTATTGACTTAGAAGATAGATGAGTATAGTTACGGATCCTGTTGTGGAAACGTGGATTTACATTTTTGAAGTATTATTTGTGATTTCAAGGTCGTTTACTTTTATTTGGCATTTTAACTGTCTTACTTGGACAGGATTACTAAGGCTTTTTTAGAAGATATCGGATATCAAATATTTGAAATATAGGTTGGAATTAAAATGCAATGAACGATCAATGGATTTTATTAATGTTAGAACAAAATAATCAATATACAGAAACAGTCTTATAAAACGCAATAGTGTCCGTTTTTATTGAGCTGGTTGACCATTGTAATTCACTTGAGGTAATCCAAGTGCAGTGGAATAAGTCGGAGTGGCTGCAGTAGATGAGGGATAACCGGACTGTACCAGACTAGGAGTACTATACGGTGAGCCCGAGTATGTTGGCGTAGCAGCAGTGGATGAAACAAAACTAGACTGTCTCAGATCGGGAACGCTATAAGGCAAAGCTCCTGAATAAGTTTGAGTATATGCTGTAGGAGAACCAAAGTTAGAAAATCCTGGGCGTGGTGCTCCGTTATTTAAAAATCCTGAACCACCTAGGGTCTGAGGAAAAGAAGATTGCCCGGCATTAAACGGTTGAGATACGAATGGCGTTGAAGTTGGTGAAGCTTGAGCTGAATTAAAATTCGAATTTTGATAATTAAACAGTGGTGGGGACGCAGTATTTTGGTAAAAAGTGTTACTGTTATAACCAAATGGGTAGTTAGATGGGATTTGTGATTGGCCAGGATAATATATTCTTCCATTCGTAGAATAACTGTTACTATATACTGGCACATTATTGGGAGCAGATAAAGCAGGATTAAAACCAATGCCATTGAACCCGGAAGGTGCTGAGTATACCGAATTACTAGTATAAGGAGAAAAGTTCGAAAAACCATAAGGAGAGTGTGCAAAAGCTTGATTCGATATTCCTGTAGGATAAGGGTAAGAGTTTGAGAAGGGTGAGTACACCTGAGTTTTCGAGATTCCGGCTAAGAAATTAGGAGAACCTAAGAAACCATTTGAAGAGTAAGGCTGAGCTGGAGGCGTATACGGTATTCCTGTTGATTGAGGAACATAGCTCAACGGATTATACGGAGACTGTGCTTGAGCAAGAGCTCCGTATGGTTTACTTGTTGAAGATTCAGCTCCAAATCTTACCGAAATTTCAGGGAGGCCAGTATCCACTGGTTTAAGTGAATTCTGTAATGAATTTGAAGTCGAATATGAAGGTTTAATAGAGGAAGTAGATTCACTTTCTTCAGATGTTTGTTGTGATGACGAACCAGAACCTAACTCAGATTTAGAAGAAGTCATAGGAAGATACGATCTTGTATTTTGTTCTAATAATGAAGGTGCTGTCGAGGTTTGTAAGTTCTGAGAATTCGGATTCGGATCTGAAGATATTATGGCCACATTTTCACGATGTAAAGCGCTATTTTGTGCTGAAGACTCAGGTATCTGTTGACTGGAACTAGATGCGTCAGACGTCGGAAATGATGGTTCATTAAAGCCAAAATTTAAGCTGTCGCTTGAATTTGGAAGTGTTGATGTTACTGATTGGGGGAATTCTTGAGAAAATTGTTTAGGGGAACCGATTCGTACTTCGTCATCTGTGCTATTTAATTTTCTTTTACATAAACTGCAATCATAAGCTCCGTGCTGCTGAAATGGGTTAGATGTTGCATATTCTCCAAACGGCACGTTAGAAAAATCTCTTAGCGTCGGATACCTTTGTCCCTGCACTGCAACATTTGCGCCAAACGGTGGGAATGTCACTGGCGCAGCGGTGGGATTTGTTACGTAACCATTCGGAGTACTCTGTGCAAACAGCTGTGCTTTGGCAGAAACGACACTCACACCCACTACAGTCAATAGAACGAAAATCTGCAAATAACAACACATGTATAACACTAACACTTAAAAACAAATAGTTAAAATAGTTAAATTAATATTTGCTCGTCCATACCTTATCGTACATCTTAAAACGGCTCTATTGACATATTAATTTTAGAAATGATTTGCATCTACTTTTATACTGTCATTGACAAACTGGTATTAAAAAATATAAATGAGGGCTCATACAATTCAAATCGAAGCTGAGTCATTTAGAATTGACCTTTTCGTCGTGGCGTTAAGAATTGAAATGACTGCTTCTACAAGATTGTCGAATCTTTAACAAAATCAGCTGCTCATTTTATGTTGGTATCGCCGTAGTAAAATTAATTTTAAAAGAAACGTCTTTCATCATGATTTTGGCGGATCGATATCAGGTTCCCATGTTTATGAGAAATGTTTTTTTAAGTTTCTTTCAACATTATGTTGTAATAAACCATTAAATTCGTTTAAATATATATTAAATTCAAATTTGTATTAAAGCCTAGTTAGAACCTTCAACTATAATAATGACGTATTGTTTAATAAAACACGCAATTTTGTAGGTATTATAAAAGAGTCGATATCGTTATAAATTCTTAATATTTAGCAAAATGACATGAAAAGTTCTTAAAAGTAAAAAGTGGTACAACCGGAAAATCAACTAATTATTAATCAAAGTGTACATTCTCTTAGAAAAAAGTAGGCAGACTAGTGGGCATAGTAGCATTTCTTAAATTATAAAAGTATTATGCATAAGCCCAGTCAGCATTATGAGAGATTGATTATTAGTTAATAACAAAGTCAAAACAAGAGATGTCCCCCCTATCACATCCTATTTCTTCTAATCGTAACATAACAATTAATGACTCTAACACTGGTACTTTATTAGTCGTCGTGGCCTAAAGGATAAGACGTCCGGTGCATTCATATCTAGCGATGCAACGGTGCTCGAATCCCGCAGGCCCAATGGGTATTTGTGTAATTGGTACCCAATTTTTCTAATGAAATATGTACTTAACAGATGTTCACGATTGACTTCCACGGTGAAGGAATAATAAAAATCAAACCCGCAAAATTATAATTTGCGTAATTACTGGTGGTAGGACCTCTTGTGAGTCCGCACGGGTAGGTACCATAACCCAGCCTATTTCTGCAGTGAAGCAGTTATGAGTTTCAGTTTGAAGGGTGGGGCAGCCGTTGTAACTATACTGAGATCTTAGAAATTATATCTCAAGGTAGGTGACGCATTTACGTTGCAGATAGATGTCTATGCTCCAGTAACCACTTAACACCAGGTGGACTGTGAGCTCGTTAACCCTCAGCTATCCAACGTTGTAAGGACGGTATTTATCTATCTTTTTTTTTATTACCTAGATAGGCAGAAAAGGTGTTAAAGGCTTTTTATTATGCTATAATTTCCAGGCAAGGGATATTATATGCAAATGAGTACCTAAGGCTAAACATAAGATAAGGGGTTTGCAATACTGACTAGTGTTCTTAAGCTTTTACTAATTTCCCTACCGGTAGCATCAGAATTCTTGTCTTTCTGGCCATCGACTACTTACTCCTCAAATTCGTATTTTCGGTACTGAAGGTAGGGTGTATTTTGATTTTTATAAGCCAGCACGGGTTGGTACCACCGTCCTGCTTATTTGTAACATAAAGTAATCTGAATTAGTTTCTTTCCTCGGGGTTCTTGTCTACCTGATCTTATCTCGTAAGTGTTTGAAAAAACTAATACTATTTAGTACTTAAATAATAATTATAATATTAATAGGGATAAAATAAAAACTTGTATAGTTATATGGCAGATCGTTTATTTTGACTATTTACAGTATTATTTAGTTTTCGATTCAGTTTACCAACCGTATGTGGCACCGTGACCGCTGAAGGAGATATGAGAAACAGCGGGGGCAGCAGAGTATGTGACAGCCGACTTTAGAACCGGGGCGGTAGCTGCGTAGGTGGTGACGGCGGGGGCGGCGTAGGTTTTGGCAACCAGGGGACCAGTAGAGTAGGCGGCGTAGGCAGGAGCTGCGTATTTAGCCACGACGGGGGCAGCGGCGTAGGTAGCCACAGCAGGGGCGGCATAAGACTTAGTCACTATCGGTGCAGCGGCATAGGTAGATACAGCGGGGGCAGCGTAGAGTCCTCCGTAAGAACCACCATGGGCTGTGGTAGAGGAGTAAGATGACACAGAAGATACTGCAGGACTGATGGTCTTGGAGACAACCGCAGGTGCAGCGTAAGCTACAGCGGGAGCGATCGCCTTAGCAACAACAGGCGCGGAGTACGTCGCAACTGCGGGTGTAGCGTGGGCGGAGTATGCGGCGATGGCTGGAGCACCGTGAGCAGAGTATGTTGCGAAAGATGGTGATCCATGAGCGGTTGTGGACGAGTAAGAAGATACTGAGGAAACAGCTGGAGAAATAGTCTTGGTCACAACCGGAGATGCGGCATAAGCGTACGATGGTGCAGCGGCGTACGAATATGCTGGGCCAGTAGCATATGAGTATGCTGGTGCAGCAGCATAAGAGACGGCAGGAGCAGCAATGGTCTTAGTGAAGACTGGAGCAGCACCGTAGGCAGCGATGTGGCCACCGTGAGCGGTGTGAGTTGAGTAAGAAGAGACCGAAGACACAGCTGGACTGATGGTTTTAGTTACCACAGCAGGAGCCGCGATAGCGTGGCTGTAAGCCAAGGGAGCAGCTCCGAGGAGACCACCAGCGCGGACTACGCTTACAGCGCACAGAGCAACGATTAGCTGTAACAAAAATATAGTTAATCATAAACTATTATATTATTTTTTAAACTAAATCCTAAAAGGATTCTTGCATCATAAGGTATATGTACTCTATAGTTAACAATCAGCTATGTTAACAATTCATCTATTATACATATCGTACCTTGGTGTACATGTTTGTTCTGTGGATGTTGGCAACTGAATAATTTCGGTAAGAAGTGCTCCGGTTTTTATAGTACTAGTTACACGTCCAGTACCCAATTTACTTTCATTGTCAAGGCAAACTAGCGTACTGAACAAGTAACTAGCCTGCGGGTGCATGAGGCTATGAGTCAGAGAGAGCCTTTCGATTTCATTTGTTCCGTTTGCACTAAGTGTTGTAGAGAAGCATTGGGCGGGTACAAAAGCCTTGACGTAATCTTAATACGTACTCATTTGTAATGTATTACTTATCACTTTCAGTTCCCATGGCATTTTCATCGATGGATTGTCAGCTGGTTCGTTAAATCAAAACCGAATTTATTCCGTAAACAAATTTACAAGGCAGACATGTTACTTGTTTTGTTCTCATTACAATCAGCTTTTAATAGAGTACCTTTTGATAATTATTAGGAATAGTTAGAATATACTAAAATGCAAATGATAGTTAGGATAAATGCATAGAATAGCGTTTTTTATTGCTTAAAAAACAGAAGAGCATCCGATGTTATTTGTTCCAGCAATAGAGATATTGCGAGGATTTCATTATAGTAGGCCAAAATTATCTCTGCAGACGTACTGTTCTCCAAAGTAGTTAGAAACAGACTCTGCTCTGGTAGCGGGTAGTGCCATGGTAAAAAAAAAGATAACGGGATCATCTGAAAAATTACCCTCAATGGTGTAAAAAGTATTTTTTATAGCTTAGATAGGTGGACGAGCTCACGGCCCACCTGGTGTTAAGTGGTTACCGGAGCCAATAGACATCTACAACGTAAATGCCGCCACCTACCTTGAGATATTCGTTCTAAGGTATCAGCTTTTTTTTTGTTTACAGTGTAACGGCTGTCCCACCCTTCGAACCGAAACGCATTACTGCTTCACAACAGAAATAGACAGAGTAGTGGTACCTGCCCCTCTGGACTCACAGACTACACTCACTATGAGTTCTATGGACTCAATTTTTAAAGTATCAGTATCGTATCAGTATTAATATTTCAGTAATTTATCGCTTAGATTGCTTAGATCCCCGACCATTGCTAAGCCTGCCTACTTTCCCATTATTCTTCTCCATCCGAAGTAGTCGTATCCTCAACTTACTTTCCCACATAGTTCAAGTCTCAATTCCTAATGTGAGTACTGAGTACTGATTATATGGCATATTACTGGATTTAATACATGTTGTCTTGAAAGCCCTAATTCATATTGCTTATTATCTCCTAAAAATTTTTTGATGCATATGACACATATGACTACGGAACCTTGACAACAAAAAAACATACACGAAGCTGTAGCAGAAAATCCTTTATACCTATAACTTACGAAATCCTAAGAAAATACTACAATCAATCGTTTGAGTGCACACAAATACGAGTATTTTCGAAATTGTGTTAAAGTAATTCTTTTTTGTTAAATTGAAATAAATTCGAGTATTCCATTACTGCCTATATAATATAACAAACAGACAAAAACTAAATTGGCAATACCCAGTAACGTCGGCGTATCAAGGACTAATCTATTTCCTTACTCGCGGCTCGATAGAAATGTGGGTGGAAGTTTACCTATTCAAACAAGCAAGTATATTAAACATAGCCTAAAACAGCGGCACCTAATTTAGGAACTAATTTTTCTTTACTAAAGTCCTGGTTTCAGTGCACTTTCGAAGACCACAAAACCAAAAACAACGTCTGAACTGTCTAGGGTCAGAACAAAGTCGTAAATCACTTGGCTGTGAGCTTAAACACGTCAATCTCATACACCATTTCGAATGTGGTGGTAAGGCGTGTTGTGAGCCCGCACTCATAGGTTTCATCACCTATTCTGCCGTGAAGCAGTAATGCGTTTCGGTTTGAAGGGTGGGGCAGCCTTTTTACTATAAAACTGAGACTTAAAACTCTTTTCTCAAGCTGGATGGCGGCATTTACGTTGTTGCCTACGGGCTCCGTTAACCATTTAACACCGGGGCCGTGAGCTCGCTACCCATTTGAGTAAAAAAGCGTTTTCAGTAATGGCGTAACGTTTGCTTTAACACTTCTGACATTAATACCAGTAGGAACAATAATAATTTCCTATCAAGACGAATATTGGTTTAGGAGGGGGCGTCTTAAAAATAATTGGATAGACTGTGTAGAACAGGATATGCGAAAGGAGGGTGTGAACAAAGAGAGGTCGTATGATAGCTAGGCCTGACCGGGAAAAGAACATCCTGCTCCGACCCCACGTAGAGGGATAAGGATAAGAAGAAGAAATGAAGTACATTGGTACAACCTATTGGATCAAACAAGTCATATATCGAAGAGGCATTATACAGTTTTCCTACCTAACACAGGCCTAAGCGATCCACAATCTAAACAGCTGCTGTTAATGAAAATGACTTGTAACGGAATTATATTTCGTTTGTTCTGAGGAAAATAAACAATAGCATTTTCTTATGTTGTCACGAATCGTATACATATTTTTTTAATTATTATTAGACTTACGGTTTAATCTCGCGTTTTTATTGTCATTAAATTGTTTCAGACTTTTAAAATGTCGACGCATAATACAATAGCCGGCCGTGACCACTAAAACTGGAAATTATCCAAACTGTCGTAAATAATATAATGAAATAACAAAGGCGAGATTATAAGTAAAATAAACGATTACTATAATGCTATTATTATCTATACTAATATTATAAAGAGGAAAGATTTGTTTGTTTGTTTGTTTCGAATAGGCTCCGAAACTACTGGACCGATTAGAAAAATTCTTTTTCCATTAGAAGCCGACATTGTCCCTGATGAACATAGGCTACTTTTTTTTTTTTTATTTTTTGGTTTCATGTGTGTTTTAATGTTTCCGAAGCGAAGCGAGGGCGGGTCGCTATATCTTCTATAGAGCGCGTTTTAATACAGTACGAGTGCATAAACGAATTTATAGTTTTAATGGCATTGATTATAAAGAAACACGCAAACATTTATCTATATATTAATACGTGAAGCAAAAACTTTGTATCCCTTTTTACGAAAATTGCGCGGACGGAGGAGTATGAAATTTTCCACACTTATAGAGAATATAGAGAAGAAGTGCACTATGCTAATATTTTTTTTAAATAATGTATAAAAGATACATTAAATCAATAAAGAAAACATTACACACACTACATACCATGTATTTGACGCACACACGCATGCATGCATACTATTTATTGTCAAACTTTTGTTCTTGGCGTCTGTTGTGAAATTGAGAATAGATTAAATATTGTTTGTCTTCTATACTAATATTATAAAGAAGAAAGATTTGTTTGTTTTTTTGTTTCGAATAGGCTCCGAAACTACTGGACCGATTTGAAAAAATCTTTTTCCATTAGAAGCCGACATTGTCCCTGATGAACATAGGCTACTTTTTTTAAAATTTTCTTTTTATTTTATTTTTGGAATCGTGTGTTTTAATGTTTCCGAAGCGAAGCGAGGGCGGGTCGCTAGTTGTTAATATTTTTATAGTGTAGTCTTGGCGAAGTTTGTGATTATAGAAGTATAAAATACAATCATAATAGTGTACAAACTTACAATTCCAGTTAATTATAGTCGAAATTCGACTACTGCGGGACCTCTAGTTTTTATTAATATTTGACGTAAATATGTAGTTGTCAAAGAAACATGCTCAATACTCCAACACTTTGAATCGGTATGATAACTTGCATTAATCTTTGCATCCATCAAAAATTTCGCAACTCAACTAGTACTTATGCTAGTGATTTGCTTAAATTATTATTAGTAATTTATAGCATTTATTAATAGAACCGGTAATCTCAACAGGATACTGATTCGATGTTGGAGTTTGGATTACCTGCGGGTGTTATAGAAAGTAAAAGATTATAGAATACATGAAGGTACGTATACGAATTTGGGAGTGAATTCCAAATTAATTTTTCAAATCAACAACGCCATTTCTTTATTAAGTTTTCTACTCGTTTCGTCTTCTTTAACAGAATTTTCAATTATATTTGCGTCAAACATTCAAGTATTTGTAGAGTTTAACGTTATCAAGCGCAAACGGGACATAATTTATAACCATATAATTTTTCGGAAAATAAAACGTAATTTCTATCGACCATATATCTAATCATAGTTCATTCAAGACAAATTCGTAAATCTGTCTAAATGTGTTGGGGCGTGCGTCGAACCTTCCTAAGAAGTGCCTAACAGACAAATTTATGTGTTGATTTGAAATACAAAAAGTTAGGATCATGACCCGAAAAACACTGACTTTGTAGGTAGCCTATAAGTCTATAACCACATAGAAGAGGGCGGAAATCTGACAAAATCCGTCCTGCCCACTGAGTTTCTCGCCGGATCTTCTCAGTGGGTCGCGTTTCCGATCCGGTGGTAGATTCTGAGAAGCACTGCTCTTGCTAGGCTCAACGTTAGCAACACACCTGGTTTGATCCCCGTGAGCTCACGTACACGTCAAGGAGAAGCTGAAATAGCCTCTCAAGGCGATCAGCATAGGTAGAAAAAAAAACCGCACTCGTGACGCCTGATCTCCCATGTCCCGGCGCCCTCTTTTGCAAAATGTTGAAGTCACAAAAGACGGGCATGTATTTTCATGACTCGTGGCCACGGTCCAGGCCTTATTGAGCGAAGTCACAGCGTTACCCTGTTACGCTAAGGCGAGGATGTGCTTCCTAGCGTCCAAGTCGCTTCGGAACTGGCATTCCGTCAATAAGATGTGGGTATTTAGCGAACTATCTATAACCGGTACCCGGGTGATTCGATTCGACCATTCGTAGATTAACTGTCCAATTGGCAGTCGCCTAATACGCACAATCCTATCCCTAGTAACATAGTGATTCATTCATTTAGAAATTGTTGTCTTACTGTCACAGCCACAGAATCACTACCATAACGGTTTCTTTACGTAATTTTCCACGTTATTAAAATTCGTAGGTATACATACAAAACTATAATATTCCAATAAAAAAAAACATAAAATAATCTTAAAGCC